AAAATAATAATAATAATAATAACAACAATTGCAAAAAAATAATCACAAACCGTCTCACCGAAATCGGAATAATTTGAACTCAAGTATGTAAATATGAAATGGACAAGAAAGAGATATTACCGAATTTAGGTGTATAATTTTACATATATTTTTTTCATCTCTTTAAAGATTGCAAGAGTTGTTATTTATAAGGTAGGGGCTGATGTGATTACTGTTGGATCAGAACCACTCGAGCTCATCTTGTTAACCAGTGGGCCGACGTGGTTACCGTTGGATCGGAACCACTCGAAAGCATCCTGTTAACCAGAGCCCCACATCACTCTCTGTCATAGATTAATTGCATTGACAAGGAGTCAATTGACCTATATCCTACGCTGTTATTTTTGACATCCATTAATATGAACATTACATCAATCATTCTTATAGATACTCCACAGATCCGCTTTCAAGGCAACGAGTGCTTCAATCTAGATAGAGCACTTCCGATGTAAAGGAAAAGTACTTCGAGTGGTAGAGGTTTTGTAACACCCTGAAATTTTCTCACTATTTTTCATAGGGGACTTAAACTAATATTGGTCATATAGCAAATGAAATGGTCCATGTCTAATCTTGTCATCACATTAGATTCAAACGTTAAAAGATAAGCTCAACCCACTTCTTCTCGTAAAAGATTTACCTTGATTACATATACTTTTAGAATTTATTGTAAGTTATTTGGGTTGAATATTTAAATATTTTAAAAGTTGATGAAATATATCAAATATTATACTTATTTTGTAGCTTGTATTAAATAAAATATTTTGGAACTAAGAAAAAATATTTTTGTACCAGTCGTGCCCAAATTATTTAATAGAAAAGAAAGTGTGTGTGTGTATATATATATAATAACAAAGACAATGACAGTTACTTCGAAAATTAAAAAGGTGATATTAGAATTTAAATAACTAATAATATTTATAATGAAAATTAAGTTTATTAAACTCACAAATTTTTAATTTAATGCCAAAAATGTTTTAATTGAATTATTTTAAAAGTGAAGTCATTTGATTGGATTGGAAGTTACATTTCAAAATTATAAATATAAATTTTAAGGTGAACGTGTTTTGTCTCAAGAAATTTAAAAGTTTATTTTTATACAAAAAATTTTTCCTTATTTTTATACCATCAATTCAAATCACAATTTTAGAATTTTGGTGACAATTGATGTAAGAATACATAGTGCAAAGTAGTAAATTCTTATTTCTCGATATTTATATAAATTTTGGTGTGAAATACTATAAGGCTTTCGGGTCGAATTCTATATTAAATCATTTGGGATAGACCGTTAGGTGAGTATGTTAAATTCTACAAGATGAACCTTTGTGACGGTTATGTTAAATCTTACGGGATATGAAAATTTTTAAGAAATTTCTTGAGCTCTAAATTTAAGAAATGTCAGTATATTATGTCAATTTTGTACTTATATCATGTTAATAAGAATGTGCACGTATTCTTACTGAGTGCTTTACAAAATATTCACTCTTACAATAATTTTTCAGATAAGAACGGGTCGTGTGGACGCGTGAAAGATTGACCGAGTAATATTTACGGGGTCGCCAAGTAAAGTTTCCATAAAATATAATTGTCAATTTTTATTTGAATAATATCTTTATGTTAATGCACGATATTTACAATTTGTAGAGATCCAGCTTTCGGCATTTTATGTTAAATCTTAAACTTATAGTTTGGAATGAAGTATTTCAAGAATTATATTTAATATGAAAATTTTACTTAAGTTGTAATTTTACTATTATCGAATTATCGATCACATTTTCAAATTGCAACTTTTAATAAAAGTGATATTTCCGCTTAAATTAGATGATGAAGATTTTGGTAACACCTTAAGCCTATTTTTACAAAATAATAAAAATTAAAAAGATTTTGAGGCGCTACAGGTTTTGCCAAAGAGAGAGAGAATACCTTGATCAAGAGTGTCTCGGCCAAAAAGCAATCGACTTTTCCTTTTTCTTGTTATTTTGACTTCATTGACTGTAAGATGTCTTACACGCACAACCTCCACATGGCTTTTATTGGGAGATTCGAATATGAGATGTAACAACTTGCTTAGTAAAGTGAATTATTGCCGAAGTGGACAATATTCTCCTCACATGTTGGTTCGATCCAATGGAATTGTTTCTTAAGACGGGAAAAAAGTGTGAATATTAGTTTAAATTTCATAGCACGTGGTAGTTGGATTATAGCTATCAAAAAATAATGCACCAACCTGGACAAAAAGGTTGTTAAAATTTAAAGCGTGAGAGCGAAAAAATAATTGGTGTCACATGTGCCAGTTATAGCTTTTTTTTCCTTTTTTTTTTTATTAGGTAGGAGACATTTGTAAGAGGGGTTATAATTGGTGATAGGACTATATGCCCATAGTTAAAGTAAAATAATTTTAATATTATTATTTTTTATTTCCTAACAATAGTTTTCAATAACTTTTGGGTTAAAGTTCCCTCCACGTGAGCATGTGTTTATAATTGATTTAAATAATAAATAAATAAAAAAATATAAGTGATGGATATGTAAATAATATTTGTGAATTATTTATATATTCATCACTTATATTTAGGGAGTTAAATATTAGGCTATGTTCGAGTCCTTTTTTTTTTTTTGGGAATAATAGATTTTCTAATAGAAATTTTTTAATAGAATTTATGGTTAAAAAATATATAAAAGTTTTATATTTACATGTAAAATTATTTTATTGGACGAATGTGTAAAAATGAATTTGAAGAAAAATAAGCTTTTATAAAATATGGCTCAAATACGAGCATAGTCTTGCAATTATTGTTATTTCCTTCGTCCAAATACATGGGTGATGATAGAGAATGTGAAAGAAGTGATAAGTGGTAGAAAAGTGCAAAAATGATCGCAAATTGTTTTAAAGATGATCTTCAGGTCTTGATGAAGATGTGGGTATTAGAGGTGACGAAGATGAAGATAATGATTAAACCTAGGAAAAAGTAAATCTAGAAGTAAAATTACAATTTTTCAAGGCAAAAATGATATTTCTTTGAAAAATTTGTACTCTTGACCTTCGAATGTATTATTTCCGTAACACATTGGCTCATTATCATTCACTATAGTTGTAGGGTCAACCGCAATGAAAGAAACTTTCGAAGTTTTGTTTCTCAGCTAGGGTGGGCAAATTCTAGAAAAACTAAAATGGTAGAAGTATGTAAAACCTCGTCTAGTTGGACTTTTATTTTTGCTTGTTATAGAATAGCTTCACAAAAAAGTTATCTTAAATCATTTTTTTCTAAAAAGCATTTATTGTGATAAAATACTTTTAAAAAATGCTCTTGTTTGATTCCCATTTTGGGAAAATAATGCATTTTGAATAGTAAATTGATGGAGAATGTTTGGTTAAAAATTAAAGAAATTTTTTGAATTTGTGTGTAATATTATTTCAAACTTTTCTTTCCAAACAGATTTGTCCATCAATGATTATCTCGTGTCGTTAAATGGCACGGGGACTTTGACTTCCGAGCCCAGCAGGGGGAAATCTGGAATTAGTGCATTAAAAATGAGTGATTAAAAATAAATTTTAAAAAAATATATTTTTAGAAGAATGAGAAAATCGAACAAGTGCTATATTTAAAATCAATTACTTAAATTTAAAATAAAACTTTTTAAAAGTTCTGTTAAATGTCTCATGAGCACGTAATTATCAGTTACGTACAAAAAGTAAAATAAATAAAAATAATAAGCAACCGAAAGCCTGATAAACGTGGGCCAAATTTTCTTACGAATCAACCTGTCAGCCAGTCTTGTAATGAATGACGACTGACGGCCACCGCCCAAGCCACCCCCAACGACCACTTTTCCACAATAAAGATATAATGATAGCGTTGTCACCTGAGTCACCAGTCCATCCACAAATTTTCTTAGTTGCCCTCCACACCTTTTTTTCAATAGATAAGTCATGGCAACAAAGAAACAAAGAAAAGTATACCAAAAAATTTGATCAAAACTTGAATTTTTGGGGGTTTTTGCCCTTTTTTTTTTTTTTTTTCCGAAATTTTCAAATCACTCTCGCTAAATTCATATTCAAACCATAGTCTTGTTATTTTAATTGTAACTGAAAAAATTTATTTAATTATTAATTTTTTCATTAAATTTCAACTAAATTACACAATAATTATTCACCCAATTTACTATCTAAAAATATTATATATTGGGACGAATGTTTGTGCATTGTAATCAATATTCAGTAGTTAGATTGTTGATACCTTGTCTAGTTGAATAATTGATTGACGATGAAATGGTAAATTGCTCCGTTCACTTGATTGGGTTGATACTTATTTCTTATGTGATGCAACTATAACACTTGAGAAGTCTAATGATCGATGGAAACAATGAATCAATCTATATTTGTCTAACCGTGAGGATTTTCAATTGAGCTGACATTTCCATTGGCCTATGAAGTGTCAGTCGAGAGATGCAGTGTGATCACGGCATCGGCATTCGTCCGTTTGACTATCAATATCTTTACAGAGAATTTGGGGAATTTGAGAAAATGGAATGCACAAGGGCAATATTGTCATTTAAGTATTCAAGGAACACTTTCCCTAGTGAGGAAGAGACAAAGAAGGGTACACCACATTGTCCAACGCATACCATTGGAATTGGGTTTCCCCATTTTGTCCTTTACTTGTTCTGTAATGCGGTTTCATTGTAGTCAATGTCACAACGCCAGCATATACATACAAATATATTCGCAATAGCAAAGGGGATTTTACCACCCTAAAAACACTCGTACACAATTATAGATATATAGAGAGAGTGAGTGGGTGATAGAGAGTTCTGAACAGCAAATGGGGTATTAGAGAGTTCTGAACAGCAAATGGGGTATTAGAGAGTTCTGAACAGCAAATGGGGTATTAGAGAGTTCTGAACAGCAAATGGGGTATTAGAGAGTTCTGAACAGCAAATGGGGTATTAGAGAGTTCTGAACAGCAAATGGGGTATTAGAGAGTTCTGAACAGCAAATGGGGTATTAGAGAGTTCTGAACAGCAAATGGGGTATGTAGAGGGAGAAGATTGGAAAGTAAAGCTGCTGAGTCGTCTATTTTTTAGCAATGGCTAACGATCAGAATTTGCCATCCAAACTTTCGGTTTTAATTTCTTTTTGAGTAAGTTTTTTATACGTTTCTTTTATATATAGTTCAGTTAGGTTAATTTGTTATATGGTTTTGTATGTATTTCTGGATATAAATATAGTAAGACTGGTTAGTTGACTTGTTTGATACTTCTATAGCTTAATTTTTATTTTTTTTTTAACGAATTTTGATGATTATAGAATTTATCTGCCGATTTTAATTTTATGATTTTTTATTAGCTGAAATTCTGATATTTTTTAGAATATTATGAGATTTTTGCTGCTGCTTTTTTATATACGTCATTCTGTGTGATTCGATGTTGTCGCAGTAGGTGATCTGAAAAATTGTTTAAAGTTGTCTGATTCTCTTGAGCATATTGTTTTATTGTTTTTTTTACTATTTGTTTTCACGATCTAAAAGTGCGTGCTTTCTGTTCGAGCAGGTAAACTTTTGATGGGGAGACGACCCTTGTATGTGGTAAGTTATACTGCACTTGAATTTTGTTTTCATCTTCAGTTTTTTTATAGTTATATATAGTAATTAATAATTTTGGATTTTATTTAATAAATTTTTTTGGCTCACTTTTGACCAGATGTAGATACTGAAAGGCCGAGAACTCAATTCTGACTATTAATATTGAATTGGATGCTCGGAGATTTTGTTTCATTCTATTCTGGTGATGTGTTATTTGTTTGGCAATTTTTTCATTTCTGTGATAAAAGTCTGATTTACATCAGAAAAGATGGCAAAATTGTCGCAGTCTGATTCTAGACGGATGTACTCGTGGTGGTGGGACAGCCATATTAGCCCAAAAAATTCAAAATGGCTTCAGGAGAATCTCACAGGTATATCTTAGATTTCAAATTGATCTTTCAAGAGGAGAAATGACCATTTATCTACTCTATTTTCTTTCAACTGTACTATTTAGATAGATGAACATTTGCTGTTTGCACATACTCTCTGAGTTTGCAAATACACCAACAGAAAACTTCAACTAGGAAGAGAGTAAAATTAAAATCACGAGCCAGATTATCAAGACCTGACATCCTGATTGTATGTTTGCTTGCTAATGAAATCTATGCTGGATTGACAAATTTGATGATTGCTAATTGCCATTTTGCAAAGCTTGTTTTCTACAAACACCCAAAAAGTAAAAGAATTGAAGTTGGGAGGTATATGCTGCTCAGCCATTAGTTTTGTTCTTTTCTTCATCTGCTATCAATTGGATTAAAGAATCACATACTTCCTTCTCTTGTACCTCATGACACTCAAGTCCCATTAACAGGGGTGTATACGTTCTGCAATGCAAGTCATCAGGGGAAAAGTTGCAGAACCTTGGTCGTCAAATTGATTGCCATTATATGTAGTGAATTGGATTGTATATGCTCAAATGATTACGTGTGTCTTGCTGGAGCTCTCTAATGAAATTTTTTGTCATACTTTTAACAGATATGGATTCCAAAGTCAAAACAATGATCAAGCTCATTGAAGAAGACGCGGATTCCTTTGCAAGGAGGGCGGAAATGTATTATAAAAAACGTCCAGAGCTTATGAAGCAGGTTGAGGAATTCTACAGAGCATATCGCGCATTGGCAGAAAGATATGACCATGCGACTGGTGTCATTCGTCATGCACACCGGACTATGTCAGAAGCTTTCCCAAATCAAGTCCCCCAATTATTTACTGATGATTCACCTTCAAGTTCTGTTTCTCGTACTGAACCCAGAACGCCCGAGATTTCAACCCCAGCACGTGCACTGTGTGAGGAGGATAGTCTGCAAATGGATGCTTTGAATTCATCCAATTCTCACGCTATCAAACAGAATGGAGAATTCAAAGTTGATTCTAATTCTGTAACCAGAAGGAATGTAGAAGTGAGAAAGGGTCTCAATTTTGATGAGGTAGAGGAGAAAGAGCAAAGCATGCAGGACTCTGAGAATCACAGTGTCAAGGAAGAAACACCATCAAGATCTGACAAAGTGGGTGAATCTGAGGGGATACTTACCTTAAAGGAAGCCCTTGCCAAACTGGAAGCTGAGAAGGAAGCTGGCCTTGCACAGTACAAACAGAGTTTGGATAAACTATCCAGTCTTGAATCTGATATCGCTCATGCCCGAGAAGTTTCCAGGGAGATCAGTGATCGTGTGAACAAAGCAGAAAATGAAGCTGTTATCTTGAAGGAAGAACTGTCCAAATCAGAATCTGAGAAGGAAGCCAACCTCCAAAAGTACCACCATTGCTTGGACAAGATATCTAATCTAGAGAAAAAACTTTCTACTGCTCAAGAGGATTTGGAGGAACTCAACGAAAGAGCTAGCAGGGCAGAAACTGAAGCACAATCCTTGAAAGATGAGCTTACTAAGGTAGCTGTTGAAAAGGATACAGCTCTCGATAACTACATGCGATCTTTGGAGATTATTTCGAACTTGGAGAACAAATTACAACTCACTGAAGAAGATGCTAGAAGGCTGAAAGAGAGAGTAGAAAAAGCAGAAAGTGAAGTTGAAGTTCTAAAGCAAACCATTTCCAAATTGACTGAGGAGAAGGAAGCTTCAGCTCTACAATACCAGCAGTGCTTGGAGACAATTTCGTGTCTAGAGAAAAAATTCACAAGTGTCCAGGAGGAGGCCCAACAGCTTAACGACGAGATAGATCATGGAGTTTCCAAGTTAAAGGGTGCGGAAGAGCAATGTCTTCTATTAGAGAGATCGAATCAGTCACTTCACTCTGAGTTGGAATCTTTGATGTTGAAGATGGGAACTCAAACTCAAGAACTTACTGAGAAGGATAATGAATTGGGAAGACTTTGGGCTTGCATACAAGAAGAGCGCTTGCGTTTCGTGGAGGCTGAAACTGCCTTTCAAACTTTGCAGCACTTGCATGCTCAAACTCAGGAAGAGCTGAGGTCTTTGGCTTCAGAACTGCAGAGGAGGGCTGAACTTTTGAAGACTGTGGAGTCCCATAATCAGAGTTTGCAAGATGAAGTTCTACAGGTTAAGGAGGAGAACAAGAACCTCAAAGAGATCAATGAATCTTCGGCACTATCGATAAATGATATGGAAAATGAGATCACTGGCTTAAAGGGAAAGAACAGTAAACTTGAGGAGGAGGTTGAGCTTCGACTTGATGAGAGAAATGCTCTTCAGCAAGAAATATACTGTCTGAAAGAAGAACTGAATGATTTGAATAAGAATCACATTTCATTTTTGGATCAGGTGCATGCAGTAGGCATTAACCCAAGGTCCTTGGAATCGTCAGTTAAGGAATTGCAGGATGAGAATTTAAATCTGAAGGAAACTTGCTCTAGACAACAAAATGAGAAAGTAAATCTTTTGAAGAAACTGGAAATACTGGAGCAGCTTCTTGAGAAAAATTCCATATTGGAAACCTCATTATCAGACTTGAATGCTGAACTAGGGGTAGTCAGAAGACAGATGGAAGCACTGGAGCAATCCTGCCAATCCCATTTAGAGGAAAAATCCTCCCTTCTCAATGAGAAGGCCACTCTCATGACTCAGTTACAGGTGACTAGTGAGAATCTGCAAAGACTGTTGGAGAAGAACTCTTTTTTGGAGAATTCCCTTTCCGATGCTCACGATGAACTTCAAGCCTTGAAGGCCGAATCCACAAGCTTAGAAAATTCATACCAGTTACTCGAGAAGGAAAAGGCTGTGCTGATCAGTGAAAGGGATGACATAACTTCTCAGTTGGGAACCACCCAGACAAGGCTAGACTACATGTGTAAAATTTTTGGAGATTTGGAAGAGAAATATAGAGCTTTGGAGAAGGAGAAAGAATCCACTCATGGAAAATTAGAAGGGTTGCAGGTTTTATTGGTCGCAGAAAGGCAAAAACATGTCAATTTTGTCCAAATGAACAAGCAACGATTCACTGCCATCCGAGCTGAGATGGAGCTTTTGCAGGAAGAATCTCAACAAAGAAAGAGGGAACTTGAAGAAATGCTGGATAATGCCTTAAATTATGATATTGAAACATTTGTCTTGCATAAGACTGTCCAAGATCTAGAAGAAAATTGCTACACATTGTTGATTAAGCATCAGAAACTCTTAGAGGAATCCAGTTTGTCAGAAAAGCAGATTTTAAAGTTAGAACAACACAGTGTTGAGCAAAGCATTGAAATCAAATCCTTATTTAATCAAGCTACTAGTCTGAGGGGGGGAACTTATGATGTTTTGAAAGCACTTGACATCATTCAAGGCCACCAGTGCAACGATCAAAATGGGCAAGACCATGTCTATCTCAACCAATTGTTGGGTAAAGTTCAAGATATGAAGAAATCTCTCCACCAAGCTGAGATGGCAAATCAGCAGCAGACGCTTGAATTGTTAGTTTTTGTCACATTGATTGGGCAACTAAGACTAGAGGCAAAGAATCTCGAGCTGGAAAAGAACACTGTTGAGCATGAGTTCAAGATCAAGACTGAGCAGTTCTTAAAGTTGCAGAATGAGGTCCATGAACTCCATGAGACGAATGAAAAGTTAGTGTCCAAATTAAATGATGGGGATTGCAAAGAGGGAGCACTACTAGTTCAGATAGAGGATCTACATAGGAAGTTAATGAACATGCAAGATGCTTGTCAGGTGTTACGTGAAGAGAATATAGACCTTCATCGAGAGAGAAGATTCTTGACAGATGAGCTCCTACTCTTGGAGCAAAAGAAAGATATCTTACAAGAGGAAAATTGTGCTTTATTTGGGGAAGTGTTGACTCTAGATAATCTTTCCTTCATTTCTAGAGACTGTGTTGGTGAGAAACTTGTGCTATTAAGACAGCTCGGTTCTGATCTAAATAAACTTCATGACGTCAACGGTGATCTCATTGGAAACTTAAGATTAACAGAAGGAAGGTTGGTAAAATTGCAAGCAGAAAATGCTCAAGTCAAGGAAGGATTGTTGAAGACAGAGGAGGAGTTGAGGATTATCTCTATTGTCAAAGATAAGCTTAGTAACGAGGTTGAAAATGGAAAGAAAATGTTAAATCAGAAGGAATTGGAACATCAGGAAGCAGAACAGAAGGTAAATCTAGTGGAAAATAAGAATTTAGAGTTGACCAAAATTGTGGAAGATCTGAGGATGGAGTCCAACAAACTTGAGATGATTAGAGAAGGTCAAGAAAATCAGATTCTCAAACTATCTGCAGATAATGACCACTTGAGTATGGAGAATAATCGCTTGTGTGAAGCAAGTCAGGTATTGGAACTTTATATGCACAAATTGCGTGGAGAGCATGACATGAGCAAAACCCGAGAGGAGAATTTGCATTCTAAGCTACAAAAGAAAATAATTGAGATTGAGATGTGGGAAATTGAGGCTGCATCGCTGTTTGATCAATTACAGATGTCCATAATCAGCCAGCTTCTTTATGAGCAGAAGTTCCATGAATTGTTTAAAACTTCTGTCGACTCTATAAATGAAAAGGAAAGTCTCAAAACTCAGTTGGCTGCGTATGGCCCTGCAATAATTTCTTTGGAGGAATCTATATCATCCGTGGAGAAGATTATCAGTTTACCCGTCAAGCTTCAATATCCTGAAGATAAGAAAATGGAGGTATTGTTTATTATTCTACATTTATGTACCTAGTTTACATATAGTGTTTTCAGAACGTGAAAACTATAGTTCTTTAATGCTTAAATTAATGAGCCATTTAAAACATGTACATCCACGTCTTAGTAAGTTTGCATCATACTGGCTACAAAAGTTGTGAATTATAGTGGCTTGCAGGGACACTGCATGACAGAACATGAAATTAGGAAATTTTTGAAAAAATTACGAGAATCACATCTGAGAAATGGCAATTAAAGAACATATAAATACTCATGTTAGATTAATTTTGCTATAAACTACTTTTATGTGACGAAATTTTACGAGTAAGTAATCAACATAAAGCGCTTTCCAATAAAAAAGTGAAAATAACAAATTAGATGAACATCAAATTACAGAAATCATATCCTCCTACATTGTTGTTTATGTGAATATTTAAGTAAAATCCATTTTTACTTGAACATCCGAAATCTAATTTTAGCTTTCTTTCTGTTGCATTTTTCTATCGCAAGTGTACAGTATCGTAAAAAGTAATACAGTAGACCTTTGAGTTCAGATTATCATTCGTACGAGGACTATATTTTAGAATTAATCTAACCTTTGACAAAACTCTGAGAGGTAGCTCAATAGTCGGGCCTTAGGTTTGCTCCCCAATGGTCACCAGTTCGAGTCCCCTCAGGTTCACTGAGGTGAGTATCCGACTGTAAACTTCAGGGCCCTGTAGGATTAGTCGAGGTGCGCGTGAGCTGGCCAAACATCCATAGTTATAAAAAAAAAAAAAAAAAAAAAAAAAAAAAAAAAAAAAGAAAAAAAGAAAAAAAAGCAAACAAAGAATTATATGTTGTGAAATTTTTGTTTAAACACTTTAAATTAATTAAGATACACAAAAAGATTTCTTGAGAATTCAATTAATGCATGGATATTATGGCATAACAATTTCACCTATTGATCACATCTAAATCTTAAATCAAGATTAAAAAAATTTAAGGTAGTGTTTAATCGAATTCTTCTATTGTATTCAATTTGCCTTTCTCGAGTTCTCATTGAGCCTATTTAACTAATTCAATCCCATATCTCTATGCGAATCAACCTTAGTTAAACGAAATATTTGTTCTACGAATTTATATATGATCGCAATAATCAGTATAGGTATTTCTACACATTATACTAATTTATCGGATACTATATGGTCTAAATAAACTCACCTCTCGATTCATAAAAGATTCACAAAATCATCAAATTAATGATCAGGTAATTCAACGCATCAAACTCATAGTAAAATCAACACATTTAAGATAAAAGAACAAGAATTTTGAATAAAAGAAATAAAAATGTCTCAAATAGATTACATTGTTCGCCCTAATATGAAATTTACCTACTCATAATGAAAATGGAAAAAACAAGAGGTTATTGAATACATCACCGAATTTTGAATAAAGATGTAGAAAAAGAGATTAATCTTGAGTCAAGATCTTCTTCTTCTTATAATCAATGCTTTAAAACTTGAGTTTCTTGATGTTTTCCTCCTTTGAATTGTGCTCTTCTATCTCTAGTTGTATTTTACGTCTCTCAATGTGTGGCATCCCCTTAAAAGTGTAAAAGAACTTGTATTTATACTCCTCCCCACGTATGTGTTGAATGTTGAGTTTTCGTGGGTTTCAAAACGAGCAAAACACGCTCCCTAGATACACCCAGGCGGCGCCTCGATGCCATAGGAGTGACATCGCAGCACCGCGACTCTATATTGTGCAATTTAATGGCTCTTTGTGGCGTCGTGAAAATTTGCACTGCACTTCCTTTAATATTTTATTAGAACTCTCTCCTGATATCCTATTAAGGCGATTTAAATTGGGTTGTAAAGATAACTTAAAAGGGGCCACAACTTTCCTTTAAGTAGCCTTTTCCCAATTCAAATATTTATTAGGTCAAAAATGGGTTACAATCTTGAGCTGAAAATCAGAAACATACTTGTGCGGTTAAAAATTGATTTGTGTCCATATTTTTATCATTTTTTTTTTTTTCTCAAGTTGCACCCAATTGACCCCTAGTATCTTCCAATCTTCATTGTGAGGTCTGACACGACTTTTAAGTATTTATACTTTTGTCTCCAAACTTTGGATTTTGCCCATTTTCATCGATTTTTTGCTTATTTCTTTCAATTCCAATTCCTTTCATCGAATTTCATCTAATAACACATTATATAGTAAATTAGGCTATAATTTCATTAAAAGAACTACGAACTGTCCAGATTTCAGAGTCTCGAATAAGTGTATAAAATACACTTATCACTTTCATAACCCTTGTTTGATCCCTATTATTTTCAAAATACATTTTCTCTCTTATTTTTAATCATACATTCTTCAATAAAATAATATTACACGCGAATCAAAATTTTTCATTATTTTTTAACCACACATTCTTTGTCAATCTTCTTTTCCAAAATGCATTTTTAGCCAAATAATGGGACTCAAACAAGGGCAAAAAAAAATTGTCCAAGGAGTGCATGATTTTTCAAGTGTGAGGTGGCATGAGTAACATAAAACATTTCTATAAGTTTCAATGATGCCTTGTCTGTTAGTAATTCAATCTTTAATTCTTTATTTCTGTTTCCCTCCCAAACTCCAACCTGAGTCCATTCATATTACTGACAGACCAATCTAGGATACTTGGATTTTCTTTGACCAAATAAGAATTTCACGTTGGTGTTAAAATGTTTAGTCATACTATAGTCAGATCCAGCACAGCTAACTGGAGCCATAAGTTTTGACTTTTTTTAATTAGTTCCTCTTGGCTTTAACAGAGATATTATTGCACTGCATATCTTTTTGTCGTAAGATAGCTGACTCTGTGAATATATAGGACATGCTTTGGTTGGAATTTCTTATGTAGATTTTAGGATTTAGACATGGGTTTTGCTGAAAATAGCTCCTGAATATATGAACAGTAGTATGCTGTTACGACATTTCTGAGTGAATATGAGTGAGAAACAATAGATTGCACATAATAATTGCACACAACAAGCATTCTTTTTGTACAGTTTCAAATTCTCTTGCTATTAGCGATAAGCCATCATACTGATCCCGGTTGTTTTGACATTTTCAAGAAGTATAACCTGTTTCTCAAACTTCAGTGTTGAACTTTGTCACGAGATATGGTACGGTGATGGTTGCAAAATAGTAGTTTCCCTTCATTTCCTAGGATCATCTCCAGGTTTACATGGTTAGAATTTCTATATATCGAAGTCGTTGGCTGCATTTTCCACATGTAATACTAATTGCTGGACTCCTGTTATTTGGTCGTTTCTAGGGTTCTCAAGAGAGGAATTGTCTCGTTGGAAACAATCAGAATGAAAATGAAAACCCCGTGGTGCACGACACATTTTCAGACTTGCAAAATCTGCGGGTGAGGATTCAAGCTATTGAACAGGCAGCAGTTGAAATATATTGGCTAAGGGCTCAAGAAATAGTTGATGTCCATGCAAAACTAGAGGGCGCAACAAGGCAAGTCGAGGAGTTAAAATCAGAATGCATCCAATATAGGAGAAACTTGAAGTCATCAACTGAAATCTCTGAGGCAGACAGGACACTTCTGACGAAAGACATCTTGCTCGATCAGATTTCCGAAAGTTCGTCTTATGGAATTAGCAGGAGAGAACAGGTCGAACCTGATAATCAAATAATTTCACCAACCAGTGATAGAAACCATGATTTACACCGTGTGAAATCAGTAAGGAAACAGAAAGGCGCGAGTCTTGGTTCAGATGGACTGATTGAAAAGGAGTTGAGTGTCAACAAGCTGGAGATTTCGAAAAGATTTATCGACCCCCTTGAAGAAGGAAACAAGGGCAACGTACTGGAAAGGCTGAATTCAGATGTTCAGAAATTGGCTAATCTTCAAATTACAGTTCAAGACTTGAAGAGGAAACTCGAAGTTACGGAGAAGGGCAAAAGGGGAAAAGCTGTTACCGAATGTGAGATGTTGAAGGG